GACATAGGTACTTTGAAATTGTAATTTGTAAATGTATTGACAGTAATGCTATTGTAACACTGACAACATAAGAAATTTAATTTTATTTGGAGCATTGTACTTGAAAAAATTCTCAATTTTCTATGTACAGTTAGTTGTTTTTGGAATAGTTAGTTACCTTACGCACACTTTTTTTCAAATGATTATGTTCAGTTGCCTTACGATAATGCGTTATACTTGACTAGGGTGATTTAGTCTAGGGCGTTTACTAAAATATTTGTTTGAAAGTAAAGTTTAATAAAATAAATATAAATAATAAATAGTAAATAAATATTTACAAACAATCACGCCACGTTAACTGGTCCCGTGGTAAGTTCGTAAAGAACTTGTGTTACAGGTACCAGATAACGGAAATAAATGTAATATTTTTATTATACACATACATATATTTAATAAACATCCATAACCCTGGAAAAGACATTTATGTTTATCATACAAATATCTCCCCTTGGTGGGATTCGAACCCGCGACCCCCTTGTGTAGTGACCATGTCACTTACCACTACACCAGACGGCCGTCAAATGTATGTGAAACGCTTCATTTAGCCTACTGCCTGCTTCGGTCGAGTTCTATCTTATTCAAGGTCGCTTATTAAGCTACAGGGGTCTCAGTCGGCCCAATTCTGTCATGCTCCGCCTATTAATGCCAACGGGCGGCAGAAACCCGACGATTTCAACCCGTCCAAAGAAAGGTGTGACGTCAAAATATACAACGATTGACTAATTATTACAGATATTATTATGATGATTCTGCATTCCGTTGAAGCTTTGACAACGGCGACCTTCTTCGCTAATAAGTGATTAATGATGCCTATACAATATAAAAATAAACTAGCGACCCGCCCTCGCTTCGCTTCGGAAACTGTAATTTATTATTGATTTCTCCACTATTTAATGGATGTTATTATACGTATAAACCTTTCTCTTCAATCACTCTATTTATTAAAAAAAAACGCATCACAATCCGTTGCGTAGTTTTAAAGATTTAAGCATACATAGGGACAGACAGATGTAGAGACAGAGAAAGAAAGAAAGCTTTGTTTTATACTATGTAGTGATATAAAATAGATACTAAACCCCAAAAACTAGCCACTTATGACGTCATACATTACGATAAAAACACGTTATGTAAACAAGATGTTACATAATCATTCTAGTTATTTTCATATTTGTGTCCGTTTGCCTATTATTGCTACTAAACTACATACTTTTTTTTACAAGTTACTAAAACAATCTAGCGTATTTTGATATTACCGGTCAATAGCAATTATTAAATGAAGCCGACATTAAAATGGTTTTTGTCACACCGTAAACATCGCAACAAACAACTCGATGGATCGAGGTTGAGGTCGTTTTTTATAACGTCACGCCGATTGAATCGGTGAACTCAATTTTACGAGCATCGCGGACTTTTCTAGATTTCATTATTTATCACAAGTTCATTTAGCAGTTTTATTCGCGAAATGAACCTGACTGACGATTAGGTCTCTCGCATCTGTCTCTAGCAAGAACTGTGCATCGCATACCCCGTCAATGTTGCGACCTAGCAAGGAAGAAAATGAACGTCTTGAGAAATTGATATCAGTCATCGCCAATAAAAAGTAAAGAACACATACAACTTAAAAGAAGTCCCTAACATACTGGTGGTAGGACCTCTTGTGAGTCCGCACGGGTAGGTACCACCGCCCTGCCTATTTCTGTCGTGAAGCAGTAACGCGTTTCGCTTTGAAGGGTAGGGCAGCCGTTGTAACTATACTGAACCTTAGAACTTATATCTCAAGGCGTGTGGCGTGTGTGTAAGAGGAGAGTGAGCGAAGAAATGGTATATGATAGAGGAGTATGGAAGGAGAAAACATGTTGCGCCGACCCCGGGTGACTGGGAGAAGGGCAGGATAATGATGATGATGAGTAGTTAATTTTTTTTTGTTGTTTATCTGGGTGGACGAGCTCACAGCCCATCTGGTGTTAAGTGGTTACTGGAGCCCATAGACATCTACAACGTAAACCCACCTTGAGATATAAGTTCTAAGGTCTCAATATAGTTACAACGGCTGCCCCATCCTTCAAACCGAAACGCATTACTGCTTCATGGCAAAAATAGGCAGGGCGGTGGTACCTACCCGTGCGGACTCACAAGAGGTCCTACCACCAGTACAAAACGCATGTGCATTCTTAGAAACGAAGCATAGCTGTCAGAGACATAATATTACTTTGTAATAGAAGACCTTTCGTTGCACACATTAAAGTTTGTGACACAGGCACAGGGCCGGATTTAAGCTTAATGCCGCTTCTGGGCACCGGAACTAATCCGCCCCAATACTGGAATTTTACCTAAACTAATAGTTTATGTATTTTATTTTTCAAAATTAAAATAACTAATCTATTGCGGAAACTATCATACTATGTCATATATTCCAAAACATAAATAAAAATTTGTTTTTTTTCTAACAATTATAAATTTTGACTATGGGTGACTCATAATTATATTACATAAAAAAAACTAATTAAATTTCTTTAATAACAGAAAATAGAAAAACAATTATTATTTTAAATCTCCAAGGAAATAAATTGATTATATCATTTTGATTATAAATTTTTACCAAAAGTGCCAATATTATAATTCACAAATAATGGATGAATTGAATTTCTTGAATTATCAATAAAAAAGAAAATCATTAATTATTAGAATTAATTAATTATATTGAGTAATAATAATAATAATAATAATAATAATATTTATTCATTCAAGCCTCTTAAAATACAAACACGTACAAAAATACTTAACACTAGTATAATAATATACATGGCTTTTTTATGAGGTATACAATAACAATATTCCCTGACTTTTATGCTAGGAAAACCTGTGTTACAAAAGTCAGTGGTTCAGTGCTAGGTCACCAGGTAAAGAAAGTTAAACAGGAAGAACGATCTGTAAGAATATAGTACGTACGTGTGTGTGTGTGTGTGAGTGTATGTGTGTTAGTGTGTTTGTGTGTGTGTATGTGTGTCATATAATAAAGTATAAAAACATTATTATATATTATATTATATACTATTATATAAAATATTAATTTAAAATTAGCTACAATAAATCAACAGTATATCATACTATATATTATACACCATTATACATTTTTACAACACGACTAATCTTGAGTAATTGAGTAATCTTGACAAGACAAAAAAATGCTTACTGTCAAAATTTTGCCGCCCTGGACACTTGCCCCGACTTTTTTTTTATTGCTTTGATATGTGGACGAGCTCACAGCCCACCTGGTGTTAAATGGTTACTAGAGCCCATAGACATCCACAACGTAAATGCGCCACCCACCTTGAGATTTAAGTTCTAAGGTCTCAAGTATATTTACGTCTGCCCCGCCCTTCAAACCGAAACGCATTACTGCTTTACGGCAGAAATAGGCAAGGTGGTCGTATCCACCCTCGCGGACCAGTAAAACGACTGCCCCTAGCATAAATACACCACTGCACAGGCGTTATTATTATTTACGAAATACATATATTTCGGTTCCCTCTGTATTTTGTACCGCATGTTCCATGGGGAGTGCTCTGAGGAATTGTTCGAGATGATACCAAACGTCTCGTTTTTACCATCGCACCGCCCACCACCGGAGTAGAGTTCATCCATACTACCTGGAGCCACTGCGTTCATCCACAATGCGTTTCCAGAGATCTTTTTTGCCACGTACCATCCGGTTATGGAATGAGCTCCCCTCCACGGTGTTTCCCGAGCGCTATGACATTTCCTGCTTCAAACGAGGCTTGTGGAGAGTATTAAGCAGTAGGCAGCGGCTTGGCTCTGCCCCTGGCATTGCTGAAGTCCATGGGCGACGGTAAGCACTTACCATCAGGTGGGCCGTACGCTCGTCTGACTACAAAGGCAATAAAAAAAAAACCTAAATTGATCAATTAAGTACATGATATAGAAACAAAAACAATTAAAAATACAAAATAAAGACTACCAATAAAAATTGTTGACCTTGTTACTTGTATCCAAGATTGCCACCACCAGTAGTTTGGGTTAATGTCAAGAATCGAAGACGTAAAGATTCACTTACTGTGATTGGATCGTTTTTTGTATCAGCAACAAACAAAGACCAGTAACTACAACGCCTCTACTTTGTAAGACTGGTGAGACCTTGCGAGATCACGCCCCGGGCAGATGATGTCACGGGGCTCGACTCGTACCTCGAACAGGGCAATTCCGACGGTAAGTCAAGACTTACTAGTTATATCAGGCTCTTAACTCAGCCGGATAGCGAAAGCTTCTTAAGGTACTGGTGGTAGGACCTCTTGTGAGCCCGCGCGGGTGGGTACCACCACCCTGCCGATTTCTGCCGTGAAGCAGTAATGCGTTTCGGTTTGAAGGGTGGGGCAACCGTTGTAACTATACTTGAGACCTTAGAACTTATATCTCAAGGTGGGTGGCGCATTTACGTTGTGGATGTCTATGGGCTCCAGTAACCACTTAAAACCAGGTGGGCTGTGAGCTCGTCCACCCATCTAGGCAATAAAAAAAATAAGGTGTCACGGTTGGGCCCCAGTTTCTCGCCGGATCTTTTCAGTGGATCGCGATTCCAATCCGGTGGTAGTTTCAGCAAAGCACTGTCTAAGCAAGAGCTACTGTAGCAAATTCACCAGAATGAGAGTCCGTGAACTCGCCTACATGTTAGATGAATCTAGTGGAAGGAATGTGTCACGGTAAAATCGAAAGTGTCGCTACCAAACCATACAGCAACATTATGTTTATGCCATAAGTTATATTTTAATGTAGTTAATTCATATGGGTACGAATTTTGATGCATCGTGAAAAGGAATTAGATATCGTTCAAACAGCAAATTCCTACGAAATTATTTAAGAGTTATCAATCCTAATTAGATCGATGCTAGGTTAGAGGATAAATAACATTACTGCCGATATTTTTCTGAAAAAAAAAACCACAATTTTCATTATTTTTTATTACAAATAAAACTTACAACTCAAAGAGTTCACATAAATATGAATACACAAATAAATGCTTTAAAAGTAAATAAACCATTCTCATTATTTTTAACAAATTAAATGTGCACGTTGACAGAATTCTTGTATCTAATGATTCTCTTAATATCTTCCAATGCACCTACAAAAGAAGTAAGTACTAACAACAACTTTTATAACAATTTAATATGAAATACTTAGGCACTCTGTCATCTAAGAATAAGCCCGATACATTAATACAACAAGTATATATTATATAACAATACGTAAACACGTAAAATTACTTTAGTACAAGTACACTGTTTTAAAAAGTATTTTACATAAACAAAAAAAACTGTTAACAACTTTTTTAGGTTTATTTGGTATATTGGATAAATTTATGAAACATTTTTTATTTCGTAAATTAAAATGGAATTTTCGTTACTGTTTCAAACAATACTGCGAATTCTACCAGGTTTTTTTTAAAATCAGTTCTTTAATGAACAACATTTTCGTTCGTGTAGATGGGGACAGATGTATGAAAATGAACTGAGATTCACAATAAATTCTTTAGAATTCTTCTCAGTGAGTACTAGATTAGGGGCTGAGAGAACGCTGTTTGGCACGCCCAAACCGACATTCATTACCTATGTTTTGGTGCGTTAAACTAAAAGTAAAAAATATATATAGAATCGAAATTATTGTTTGAAAACGAAATACGTAGCGATCAGAGCGAATGTGGCCAGTGGGAGAGAGAAGGAAATAGATCCAGCTCCGTTACAGTTGTCCTTGTTGCACACAGCGCAGGACTTGACCTTCGCGCTGTCAGCGATCGCGGTGTTGGAGGCGAGCTCGACAACTCGGCAGGTGTGCTGGGAATCGTTGGGGTTGACATCCAAGCAAGTACGGACAACAGTTCCGCTCTCTGTAAAAGTGAACAGTTATTCGAATTTAACCTTGAATCTTTAACACCGTTCGACTCGGAAAAAAGGGTCGGAACCCCAAAATACGCATTATTTGAAATCGGCGATTATAAAAACCCTTCGTATATAATTACTATTATAAGTCTTCTATCTATTAAAGCGTATATTGATCAAGAATTTATAGAGTAAAAGGAGTACATTAATGAAGTACGTAATTATATACTATAAATCATTATTTCTTTAGGAATATTCTATTATTAAGAAAAAAATATGTTACGCGACGTCGAGAAATTTTACAAAAAAAAATTTTTTATATTTTTTTTATTGCTGAGATGCGTGCACTAGTTCACAGCCCACTGGCGTTAAGTGATTACTGGAGACCATAGACATCTAGAACGTAAATGCTGTCACTCACCTTGAGATATCAGTTTTAATGTCTCAAGTATAGTTGCAACGGTTGCCCCACCCTTCAAACCGAAACGCATTACTGCTTCACGGCAGTATATTCCTTGTTCGTCATTTCTTTTATTAGAAAGCATGCATAGTTCCGTTTACTTTTAAAAACCAACGTTTATAATATATACTGTTCACATATTTCTTTATATCTAACATAAACAACACGTTAAAATATAAAAGCCCGCATCGACAGTTAAGTATGCCAACCTATTGGTAGTATTGTTATTCCGTACGAGACGATGTAATGTGTATTTCTAATACGTAGTTTCGTCAACCAAGGGATGAATCAAGGGCGGATCCAGCTTTGGCGCCAGGAGGGGGTCACATAGTCGTGGGCAAATTAAGAACTTATAATTTAATTTTGATAACAATAGATAATAAATAAATCATGATGTTCTTCAATTAGTCCAAGTTAGTTCAAGTCCTGGAACTAGCTCAGGGGGGGTCATGACCCCCATGACCCCCCCTGGATCCGCCGTTGGGATGAATTAACAGCCGTCATGCAATATGTATTTAATTCTAACTTCGACCACACGTTTCAAGATGTGTGACGCTATTCAGATTGCGATGTCTATCAGTTGGTAGAATGCCTTTCTAGAGCTTAAAAATAGGAAGGCGTTCTTGTATTAAGTTTCCGGTACCCCAACCGGTACTATGAAAAAAACAGCACTGCTTACAAGGGATAGAAGCGAAAAGTTAAGAGGTTCTCTTACAGACCAAATCCTGAACCATTATAGGTACATTTGTTACTTTTTAATGTCTCCTTTTAGTATCGAGTTTCAAATCAAAATGGTTTAAAAAAAAAATTCAGTTCATAAAACTCACTCATGACGATCTTGTGACAGTATCTAGGAGCTCCCGTAACGCTGTTCAAAACTTCCACAGGCAGAATGTTGCGCAGGTAGAGCGTGTTGAAGTTAATCGAATCCTGGGTGTTGCATTCCTGAAAAGGTATTCATAAAAATGTAGCTGGTCCTCAATATTGATTCTTCTTCTTTGTCCCCACTTTATCCCATTAGGTGGTGTCGGAACAGCGAATCTTCGAGGACGAGCTCACAGCCCACCCCTGCCCCACCCTTCAAACTGAAACTCATTACTGCTTTACGGCAGAAATAGGCGGGGTGGTGGTACCTGCCCGTGCGGACTCACACCACTCCTACCACCAGTAATTACGCAAATTATAATTTTTCGGGTTTGATTTTTATTACACGATGTTATTCCTTCACCGTGAAAGTCAATCGTGAACATTTGTCAAGTACGTATTTCATTAGAAAAATTGGTACTCGTCTGCGGGATTAGAACACCGTTGCATCGCTGGATATGAATGCACCGGACATCTTATCCTTTAGGCCACGACGACTTTTCTATTCCATTCTCTTCTATCAGCCGTAATCTCAACACTCACTCCTTTCTCTCTCATATCGTCATTCACACACTCTATCCATGTCAGTTTCGGTCGACCTCTTCCTCCCTACCTTGCACTACCATTTCCATACATCTCCATACCACGCTCTTTAATTTGTCTATCACAATATAGATTGGTGTGACCAATGCAAGCGAAAATGAAAAATATTATTTAAGTAAAACTGATTTTCTGTGCGAGGTCAAAGTACTTGTAGGACGCTTATTTTTTTGCCTACCTTACTGTTGGTCGCTTTGTCGGCCTATTCTGGCTTTGCCTTTGGTTGGTGGGAGAGACTTTTATTACGGACTAGCTGACCCGGCAGATCACAAGACGTCCTACTATCTATATCTTCTATATCTATGTTCTATATAAATGAATTTCTCAAATTCAAATTCAAATTCGGATTTCGGGGGCGATAAATCGATCTAGCTACGATTTATTTTCAGAAAATATTTCTTTAATGGTGTTTTCAATAATCAACTCTTCCCGACACCTATTGGCGAATAATAAAACTATTTTTCTTAATTGAGGGCAACTAACCGCTTCAAAGACACAACAAGATGGCGTTATAAAAAAAAAAAACCGAGCAAAGCTCGGACATCGTCTAGTAGAAGTAGTTCAGCGTATTTTTTTTTCATTGAATAATTCGTTTGCTTTTTTTCTATTAAAAGTTTGAAATTCCTTTCGCTTTTTTAGGCTTTCGACGAACAATGATCAGCGGAAACAACCGCAAGCTTTACTGCACATCAACCGCTGTCCCATCATCTACGGTAGTAACAACCTCATCTCAACTCGCATAGCATTCTGTCCCAGCATCAATATCTTCATTTTTTACCACGCTCTGGTATTTCTCTATGACTGTAAGGTCTTATTTCAGATTACTTACTACTGGGGGTTTGGCGCTCTTGAACGGGTCCCCGCAGTTCTTATCCTGTTCACTGTTACATTGGTAGCACTTGATGCAATAACCTGAAATCGAAAGTAGGTTTATCAATACTAGAGGTCCCGCAGTAGTCGAAATTCGACTATAATTAATTGGAATTGTAAGTTTGTACACTATTATGATTGTATTTTACACTTCTATAATCACAAATTTCGCCAAGACTACACTATAAAAAATATTAACAAAGACAAACAATATTTAATCTATTCTCAATTTGACAACAGACGTCAAGAACAAAAGTTTGACAATAAATAGTATGCATGCGTGTGTGCGTCAAATACATGGTATGTAGTGTGTGTAGTATTTTCTTTATTGATTTAATGTATCTTTTACGCATTATTTAAAAAAAATATTAGCATTGTGCACTTCTTCTCTATATTCTCTATAAGTGTGGAAAATTTCATACTTTACCGTCCACGCAATTTTCGTAAAAAGGGATACAAAGTTTTTGCTTCACGTATTAATATATAGATGCTGCAACTGCTATTCGTATACATTGATCAAAAATATTGTTAATGTCAATAGAAGCATAGTTTCTAGTGTTTGCGTAAAATTAGTACATACGCACAGACGGTGCGATCACGTCACTTATGCAAATTATGTAATTTTTCAGGAGAAACGTTGGAAAGTTCGCCATTTTATTATATGTAGTCCTTATATATTTTTGCTAGACTAAAGAAATAAAAAACGATATATAAACTAAAACTTTAAACTTCATCAGTAAAAGCAAACATCTCGCTGATAACGATTAAAAATGTTTTTTCTCATACTTAGTTCAGTTTTAACAAAAAAAAAAAATTTTTTATATTGCTTAGATGGATGTACGAGCTCACAGCCTACCTGGTGTTAAGTGGTTACTGGAACCCATAGGCATCTACAACGTAAATGCACCACACACCTTGAGATATAAGTTCTAAGGTCTCAGTATAGTTGCAACGGCTGCCCCACCCTTCAAACCGAAACGCATTACTGCTTCACGGCAGAAATAGGCAGGGCGGTGGTACCTACCCGTGCGGACTCACAAGAGGTCCTACCACAAGTAAAAAAATTGCTTAAGTGACTTTATAGCAAGCACCGTGTGTGCGAATTATATAGATGATTGTTGCGTATCCAGTAATTTACGTTCAGCATTGAAATATCCTTGTTTGTCTAGAAACATTTTAGTCTTCTCTTGTAACATTTTGTCAACAGGTTTCACTTCTATTTCTTTCTTCAATGAGCTTTAACGTTATTGATTTAAAAAAAAGCTAAACAGTTCACTTATTTCCATGTTCACAAAACATCAATAGTATTATATAAAAAAAGGGAAACCTTAACACGTAGTAGGAATCTTAATCTAGGTGTCAATATTTACGATCGAACTTAGTTTCATTTATTTACACCTGTAGCATAAGAGAGTTCATCTTTGTACCCGCAATATGAAGGAAAGGAGACTAAATCATATTTACGAGTAATTAAGTCGAAATATATGGCGTGTTAAATATTTTGGTATAATATTGTTTTACGACCGAATGTTAGGTATCAGGAATTCCCATTAATATAGTCTCCTCCGTTTTTGGAAATTAATCCTATTGAATACGTCCTGTATGTATGTATGATCACGATTGGCCATTTATATATATTTTTACTGGTGGTAGGACCTGTTGTGAGTCCGCGCGGGTAGGTACCACCGCCCTGCCTATTTCTGCCGTGAAGCAGTAATGCGTTTCGGTTTGAAGGGTGGGGCAGCCGTTGTAACTATACTGAGACCTTACAACTTATATCTCAAGGTGGGTGGCGCATTTACGTTGTAGATGTCTATGGGCTCCAGTGACCACTTAACACCAGGTGGGCTGTGAGCTCGTTCACCCATCTAAGCAATAAAAAATAATAATTATAAATTACGTTGATAATTAACACAGTCAACATATTGTAGAAATGAATTACAGTGTAAAAATATTCGAAAATTCTGGGCGAAGTCTTACGTCATCTATGAAGCGAGATAAAGCTATACGAGTATTTATAGATTGGATTTACACAGCAAACAAAGCCGCTTGCTCTGTAGTTAACAGAGTATCTAGTCTTCTACCTATTCTTAAATAGAATTGTAAACAGTTTTGATCTATTTGTTTGTGCGTTTTTTTTCATATTAAACACACATGAAAAATTCCGCGCAAAGGTTGAATCATTTTATGCCGTTACCAATTGAATATGCAATTTCAAAAAGGGCACATCTCATAAATATAAAACATCTAATTAAATGTATATCCTGACGTTTAAGATAATAATTCCAGTAATTGTCAATTGCTAATTAAGACTAAAATGTATCTCAAAAGTTAATATTTATTTTTAAATTTTACACTGCTTTAGAAAATAATTACGAGTTTTCTTTCATTTCCTGAACATTTTACATTTTCAGAGATGTGCCCTTTTCGAAATTGCATATTCCATTATTTTCAATATGTATTGAGATAAGCTAAGTCTGCGATCTTGCACATATTCACTATACTCATGCCAACCAAACCATGTACCGATCTACAGTCAGCCGCTGAGTTAAGAATCGAATTGTTATTCTACTAAATCACTATAGCAAAAACAAGCGAAACAATCGCTCAGTCAAAGTAGGAAAATACCTGACAATGTGAAACAATAATTCTCAGTAATTGTAATTGTATTCATTGTTGATTGTATGTATTACGTACGTAGCTTCGATTTGATTCATTCACAACCATTATATTCATTTAAAATGATCTTGAAACATGCAAATAAAACTTCGAAGTAAAAGAAAAATTTAACATAATATTAGTGAGGATCTATAACTTTTCTTTTGTATAGCAAACAGTCTTTTAAAAGGATCAGCGGTTGATAATGGACGTCGGTATAAGCTGAGGAGCAGTTTAAGAAATAAGTCTGTTAAAAATTAAAAAATTACCATTCCTATCCCAGTTTCCTTTATTACTCAACAAACAAGTCATACATACATCTTAATAGCTGACAAGTGGCAAATTGGATTAATTCACGAGGCGGCAGAGTTAAGTGACACAATGACATGGAGCAGTTGAAATAAAATTCCTTTCAAAATAATGACGATACAGAGAGTCGAACTCACAAGAAAAAAGTAATATCGAGTTCGGTAAATTCAAAATTTCCTCATAGGTAAACAACCATGTCATTATCGTATATTAAACATTTTATGGACTGTAACTGAATAAGTCATTATTACGTCGTTAATATAAAAATGATTAGCCTAGATAAATTGAGTACCATCTTCTGTTTGAATTTAACTTTTAAATAAATAACATATATCATTGTGTGGGTTCAGTTTTGGCCCGTTGCGTCCAGTCCGATTAGAAAATAAATTCTGATTTACATTGAAGTTCGCATTTGACCTTTAGAGGTACGATAATGACACTGTTCCGTATTTTGCATCCATGAAGCCGTACTATAAAATAATATAATTTTAATAATATTATCTACACTTTTGAATCCAAAATCGACACAATATATCTTGCAAAAACATAGATATAACATATTTTATAGATAAGGATACGTTAATTCTTTGAAGATTTTTTTTTTATTTCAGAATAATATGTGCGATAATAAAACGTTTGTTATGTTAAATGAATGACCTTTAAAATCATATCACAACTCTGACTCACGTCCAAATATAATTTAGTGTCGTTGAGCTTCATTTAAATATAAAATGATGCAGAAGACTCGATCAATCGAACTATAAAATCGAGATAACAATTGTTAAATCGTAAAAATGAAAAATCTCCACACCCTCAGATATAAGATATACGTAAAGTTTCAAGGAAAAATACTTCTTAGGGAGAGAGTTTTATTGCGTATTTAAGGATGTCTCTCTCGGGCGGACAAAAACAATTTTATTACAACTCCGAAGATATTTATGGGAATGTTTTTGCAGATCGAATATCATTGGAGACAGGAAACAAAGGCTATATACCAACAGCTACATGGTATATAATAACGACGAATACTGATTATGCTTACGTAAGTTGTTTTCATAAGCATTGCCGATGGGATTTTCGAATATTAGGGGAAAATAATTTAGATATGACGTGAGTTCTTTTTGTCCTTCAAGATAGAATCTTTTGGAACACTAGCATAAGACACGTAGATCAGTCTGAAATGTTGAAGTTGTTTGATATTACACTGGTAAAAATCTTTTGAATTCAGTTAATTGAGAGTTGAAGAATAATTACGTACTATAAAACATATTATTTGTCCAGCGAAAACCCACTAAGACCAGAGTGATATTTTCGCCTTAGTTCCAAATCGTCAGTAGCAATTTTATGGGAATAAATTGGAAAACATTACCGTCTTATGATATAGTTAGCAACAGTGCCAACAGTTAGTTTCCATCAATAAAATTCCGTTCCATTGAATTCTATCAAATGAAGTAATGTCAGTAAGTTTCCATCAATAGAATTCCAATTCTATCAAATGAAGTAATATCATTGTTAGTTATTTTAGAAACGATTTTCGCGTTCCAAAAAATATGGGACGGGTAGCTTGATGCGGCATCAGTCCTATACATAATTACGTCAGCTGCTAATGCTAATGTTTTTATTTTATATATATACTTTTATTGGCCTTGTAGGCAGACGAGCATACGGCCCACCTGATGGTGAGTGGTTACCGTCGCCCATGGACTTCAGCAATGCCAGGGGCAGAGCCAAGCCGCTGCCTACCGATTTGTCACATCACGTCATTTGAAAACCAAAACAAGCGTAAATATGAACTATCAGATTTAACGAGTACTTGTAGCGTTGATGATGTCACCCATTGCCATTTACATATTTAGGCCATGAGCACTACGAGCACAAACAACCTTGGACGCGACGAATGAAACCGGTTTCAATTAGTACGCAGCACACAGCTACGTTAAATTCATATTGTATTATCTGACTAAGGAAGAGACCAGTTTTAATATCATTTTGTCAATCGATTGTAAATAGGAACGTGGAAAAGTGAATTTCTTATTTGGTATAATCGACAGAAATATTAAAATGTCTAATGATTATATACGAGTTTACAGCAATAGAAATATTGCTTCCATATTAGGTGGTTTTAGGTCTTTTTTTAAACTTAATTTGTAGCTTCTTTGGCATTCTTCCAACTATTTTAAGGTTGTAATGTTTTATCTCTTACATACTATGTCATTGTTTTTACGAGACCTCATATGTGTGTTTGTACAAAACGCGAGAAACAAGAATGTCTTCTTAGGAATAACAACATAAAGTATTAAATTGTTTTCTTTTGCTTTCTTAATATACATAGAGTTGTAGGTGTGTGGACTTTTATCATTATCACTAATGACATTAAGTTATCTGTTTTTAACACTCCGGGTCTGGTTCCAAATTAGCGACTATTAAACAAACAAAAGTTTCAGAAAACATTCTTTATGCCCCACTGTTGTTTTACTGCTAAAGTATTTGATGTATATCTAGAGGCATTTCTATGATTTTAGTAAAGGAATAATTGTAATACAGTAATTTTTTTTTTTAAAGAAAACTGTTTTCTACTCCGTCGAATGCATATTACAGAAAGAGCAAAATTTCTCACAGTTATCGAGGAGCTAGCGAAAATAGTAAACCCAGCTGCTCCACCCACACAAGGCGTGGCAAGTCAGGCGCACTCCAGGAATTAATATCGATGAAAATAAGGTATAGTAACCGGCAAACATCGTGAGCAAATGACCTTGACTGCGCAGAACCGAATTTTAGATCACTTTGGTGGTGAGGGTGAGGCGCGATGGCAGGGGAAATCGTATCGAGCGCGTTATTGGTAGATCAGTCGAACCTTGCGTCCCGCACCGCGCCTTCGTTCCGCTTGCTCCCAAAAGTACGCTTGCGTACAGTGAAAAGTCTATCGTTATTAATCGTTAAGTTATATTTTGTTATAATTGCTTGTTGACTTTGTTGCCATTGCTATTTGTTGAGTGTTTGTTGATTTTTTATAAAAAATACACTATGCCGCGACAAACTGGTGTAGTATTCAAAAGAAAGGGTAGAAAAATTGTGTACGACGTATATTGCTTCATTATAAAACAGGGGAAGAATGATATTATGGAAAAAGTAAAACAGACTTCGGAAGCAACAAAAACATCAGTGAGTACTGTTAGGTGCATTATTAACGAAGCTAAAGGCTCTGGCTTGCTCATCGTGCTTGGGACTCCGGGTAAGAAAAGATCAGGGAAGAAGAAAGTTACCGGAATGGATAGTTTCGTTCAATCTGTAATAAAAAGATGTAATCATAATAACTACATAACAAGCAGCGAAACTCCGTACCGTAGAAAGGCTTCGAAAATTTTAAAGAAGATATACATTTTAATGGCTCGGAATGAAGTTTACGACGAATTATGAAAGAGCTAGGCTTCAGATGGAAAAAAAAAAAAAAAAATAATCGGAAGCTGGTAATTGAAAAAAGTAACATTCGATTACTACGAATCGAATATCTTCAAAAAATAATTAATTATAGACAAAAAAGAAGATCGAACCGACCGAGTCGTAAACTACACCGATGAGCCCTATGTCGACTTATCACGATGATGGCGACTCGGGTGATGAAAACAGTGATGATGATAATGGTCAAGATTATGATAACGAAAAAAAATTACAAATACCAGCTTCGCTTCAACTGAACGAAGACCTGGCAACAGCTCTAGTTTTGACTTAATAGAAGGAATATCTATTTTACCCCAAGATTAAATTATTATAATTATTAACTTATATTTTTTGTTGATGTTCTAATAAATATATAAATAAATACATATGTTGATTTTAATAATTTAATTGCATTATGACGCAGAGTAAATAATGTTTTTGCATGTGAGTGTACCATGCGCAAACTTACCCCCACTACGTCAACAAATGCTCAAGAAGTTTGCCGGCTATTATATCTTACATCGAAAATTACGACTATTGTTTAATTTCACACGCGTGGCGGACGAACTCAACATATAACAGCTATACCGTAGAAACGGGCAAGATGATGACACCTACCTGGCTTAAAGTTTACATCAGTATAATATATATTATGTTTATTGTATTAGTGGGAGAGATTGCATATAAATTCTGCTATCCACTGGAGATATGAGGTCAAAATCTTAGTTGTATTGCATGATCACTGTTTCGCCTTTTAAGCTGGATTAACGCTTCGCATCAGAAATATCGTTAAGCAATGACTCACAATCCGACATACTAAATTTTTTTGGTGTAATTAAATGCGGGCAAAAGCGTAAAGCCTTGAAAGCATTCAGAAAGTGCCTTTGCCGAGCAGATAATATGATATTGTAACGGGAAAATGGAACAACACCTAACACAATGTATGGTCGGTCGCCAGTTAGAAACTATAACTCACGTAGTAATGACGGCAAACAACCTTCAACAAAACGTCCACGTTAATGTGCAAGAGATACAACATTTTGAAACTAAATAAAAGAAGAAGAATAGGTATAAATAAATTCGAATACTTTATATTTTACGGAAGAACCTTACTTATTGGTAAAACAATAAGTTCTATATTGCATTAAATACTTAAATAGTCAACTAATAAGACTACCTATAGTTTTGGTTTCTTGTTTTTAAACGGATATCGTATAATGAGAAGTTAATTGCAATTTTTTTTTCGTTTAGATTAAATCACTTGTATGTAATTTTATTTATTATAGCAAGCGAATGTTCTTTGCTTAGTATCATTTAACTCTCTCTTTCTATTTTTAAAATCATAAGAATTTGCTTATTTCAGAACGTGTTCCCATTTGAAGGGTCCGTGGACAGCCATACATTACGATTGATACCTCAATCTCAACTGCTGCTGCCACGCACGTTGTGATGTCTTTAGGCCAAAAGCCACTAAGCACAAGGCGAGACGGTTAAGCAAGAACTAAAATAACTAAGTTACAAAACTACGTATTAGAGGTTTAATAAAATGAAACCGCCTTATTTAAAGGTGGAAATTGACTGCGTAAACTATTAACTTTGGTTTGATATTTTCGAAATAGGCGACTAAGTATAGACTGTACATATTATTATGTATCTATTATGGAATAATATGCCTAATGGCATAAGCCTTGTGTGCTTAGTGCGAGTTTTTTTTAATGTTCTCGATAGCGTAAAAGTTAATTCAAATTTGTATGCAGTTGGAACATTTGCCGCTAGGGGCGCTGTTCAAACTGCATATGAGTTAACTTTTACGGTATCGAGAACGTTAAAAAACTCGCACTAAGCACACTGGTGTCTGTGATATACTATTAAGTTCCGGAATGTGTGTCTGTTTCTCTCTAACGCGTGCGTTAGAATGTGTTCAACTATTTGGAACATGTCTGTCAGTTTGCTTAGTCTTGTACAATAAGTAGATCCTAAACTGCCGGACTGACACAAACTTACCTCCCATACCTAGTGAACACGTTCCACAATTATCACTTTTTATCAATATCAATAAAAATTTTTTATGTTTGAAAGATTACTGGTGGCCCGGAAGCCTTTCCAGCTTCACCAGGACAGGTGGGCGAGCAAAGGCTTAGCTAGGCTGGGTGGGATTTGCTAACAACTGCCGAGCGCCTCCGAAGGAGACCTAACAACTCAAGAGCAATTGCTTCGCGAATGAATCTACTACCGGATCGGAATCGCGACCCACTGAGAAGATCCGGCAATATCAATTAACAAGCCTATTGTTGCTGGATACATGCAAGCGCCATTTTCAGCGGGTAGACATATAATTTTACGTTCATTGCGTTTTTCTGGTTCTCGTTATTTTGCTAGGGTTCGTGTTAGCAACGTCGTCAGGTTTGAGCCCCGTGAGCTCACCTACTAGTTAAGGTTACGCTGGAATAGCCACTCAAGGCTACCAGCTTAGGTAGGAAAAAAAAACTTCTCGTTGTTTAATATTCCAATTGAATTCTCATTTAACTAAAACTAAAGCTGTTATCCGAATTTAATAAATAAGAACACTATAATCTGCTAACATTGTCCCGTGATTGAGGAAAAGTACAATATTTTTAACACAAACATTACGGTTCAATGCCTTCATGAACGATCAAGGTTATGTGATAGCCATTGCTTTAAAATTGTTTTTATAGTCGACGCGAAGTTGACGGGTAACGGAATAGGTAGTTAAAAACTATACTTTACTCTGAAAACGTGTTAACCTGTTGTTCCCGTTCCGAGAGAGAGAAAAAAAGCAGAAACAGCTCTAATCAGAAATACCCACATTACGAAATCCCATTTTTCGATTAATGCAAACAAAGAACCATTTCAATTAGTCGGCTAAGAAATCTTTCTTTAAAAACGTAACACCTACATTATCGAAAACAAAATAAATCGTATAAGTGATTTAAAAACAAACGTACCTGTTTCGAATAGCGCTAGTAGAACAGCGAAGGCGAATGCTACACTTTTTGCCATGTTTATTTTATAATTATTTTTCAGCGGTCGTGTACAGGCGTGCTTCGTGCTCGACAAGGCGATACTGAGTCGAGTCGAGCAAAGCAAACTACGCGCCCGCCCGACACCCCGACGCCGACCAACGCACACATATAGGGTGACCATGTTTCAATAACATAAAGCAGACGTCTTCCGCTCTAACAGTAGGAGAGTAGAGACCCCGGTAATCGTACTCGTCGAACTCGGCAAAGAGCTCGACGTGCAACCTTACCTAAACATCAGCCCGTTGAGTTTCTCGGCGGATCTTCTCAGGGGGTCGCGATTCCGATCCGGTGGTAGATTATGCGAAGCACTGTCCTTGCTAGGGCCAGTGTTAGCAGCACTCCCGGTTTGAGCCCCGTGAGCTCACCTATACGTCAAGGAGAAGCTGAAATAGACTCTCAAGGTTATCAGCATGGTTAAGGTAGGAAAACAATAATAAATGTTTACATTGCTCGATCAAAACTAACCGTGAGTCACTGCACTCCATGTTTCTTTAAAGGCTATTTCAATGTCACACCGTTTTACTGGTATGCACACTTCAGTTTTTTGCACACTTGTCAAATGTTTTGCTCAGTAACAAATGGATGTGTGAATTCTTTGTGAATTGTGAACATTTGAAAATTGACATAATTATGTTTTTAGTCTATACATATTTTATATTTTAGTCTATACAATATGATCTAATTATCGGATCATGTTTTAGAACATGTATCTTAATTATTTTTTTATTGCTTAGGTGGGTGGTCGAGCTCACGGCCCACCTGTGTTAAGCGGTTATCGCAGCCCATAGACATTTACAAAGTAAATTCCACCACCTACCTTGAGACAAGATCTTCTAAGGTCTCAGTTTTTACAGTACAATGGCTGCCCCACTCTTCAAACCGAAACGCATTACTACGAAGTTGTCGTGGACTAAATGATAAGACGTCTGGTGCATTCGTATCTAGCGATGCACCGGTGTTCGAATCCCGCAGGCGGGTACCAATTTTCGTAGTGAAATATGTACTTAACAAATGTTCACGATTGACTTCCACGGTGAAGAAATAACACCGTGTAATAAAAATCCAACTCACGAAATTATAAATTGCGTATAAATTACTAGTGGTAGGACCTCTCGTGAGTCTGCACGGGTGGGTACCACCACCCTGCCTATTTCAGCCGTGAAGCAGTAACGCGTTTCGGTTTGAAGGGTGGGGCGGCCGTTGTAACTATACTGAGACCTTAGTACTCATATCTCAAGGTGGATAAGGACATGGACCTTAGAACGCATTTACGTCATAGATGTCTATGGGCTCCGGTAACCACTTAACACCAGGTGGGCTGTGAGCTCGTCCACCCATCAATGCAATAAAATAAAAAAAACAAACACGTGTGGCACTCGGGGACTGCCGTGGTAAAGCTATTGCATAGCATTTTTTATCAACTTATGCATTTATAATTAGACAATAATAAATAATAGACAAGAGTGACACGATTGAGAAGAAGAAGAGGAGAATAATAATTTAATATTAAAACAATAATAATAAAATAAGATCAAGCTATATTTATAAACATTAACGAAAGCAAAACATTAACTGTCTCCTTCACACTCATAAGGTAGACCGCATGAGCGAGAGATGGGCAGACTTTTCATAATGCGTATGCAGTACGACATCACGCCACGCGCTTATTCACAAACACTACACAAGCGCAACGTGTGAATGTGTTGAACGCCAGCTACATGGTAGGCGGAGTGGGGGTGTTAGGTTTTATTTTCGTTACGGAACTACTTGATTCGGTCGCCGCGCTCAAAGCCCGCGATAAAAGCTTTGCAATAGCTTAAAATGCTTTACTGCAGAAATAAGGAGGGTGGTGGTACCTACCCGTGCGGACTCACAATACGTCCTACCCACCAGTAAACACAATTACTCATATTGTATAATATTTTTATTGTATATTTTTTCCTTGGTACGAACCAAGCTCTCCTCCCGGACCTCTGCTTTATTTGTGACAATTCCCGCTAGTTGGGTCCTGGGTTAAAATTTTTGCGTGGCGGCCCCGTCCTGTCACTGTCACTTGTCTCTCGTCATAATATGGTACTCATCATCACCAATATAAGAATACTTCTTAATCTATAGTCTGTAATTATCATACTTTTAGCAACGGCTTAATAATTTGAATAAATAAAAAATATAAAAGTGGGTTGGAACGATCGACACGGAATATTAAATCTAAGACAAGTGAACGCTGCGCGCGCTTCCAGCAAAAGTGATCCGAGGTGGCGTGATGTCCCCGCTGGTCGGTCGGTTGCCCCTCCAGATGACGAGTTGCCCCTCCAGATGACGTCACGAGTCCACGTGAGTNTAAATCTAAGACAAGTGAACGCTGCGCGCGCTTCCAGCAAAAGTGATCCGAGGTGGCGTGATGTCCCCGCTGGTCGGTCGGTTGCCCCTCCAGATGACGAGTTGCCCCTCCAGATGACGTCACGAGTCCACGTGAGTGCTCGTCGTCAATGGCTCCGCCCATCGACTTTGACTTAAGAGGAAGTCGCCTCTAATAATACATAGTACTTCGTTTCTATACAGTGCACTACCATTTTCCTTCATTTTAGATTAGAATACCCTCAATACCGGGTGTTACTAAGTTTCCACAAACATTCGTATTATAACCGTATTTAGGGACAATTTTCATTAATTTCACCTTGTAGTGACTACAAACATTTGGAGCCTCTGGGTCTTCGGAGGGACTTCGGATCTCTTTCGGACAGACCTTCGTTTTTAGAGATATTTTTGCCACGTATTATCCGGCTTTAGACTGATTTCTCCTCCACGGTGTTTCCCGAGCGCTATGACATATCCTTCTTGAAACAGGACTGGTGACGAGTACTTAACGGTAGGCAGCGGCTTGGCTGTGCCCCTGGCATTGTTGATGTATGTGGGTGTCGATAGCCACCATAAATTCGGTGGTTCTGCCTTTGTAGGCAGACGAACATAGTAGTAGCCCGAGAGCCCGTGGGATCTACCTGTATGTATTTGACCAGACCTGAATTTTCGTACATTGAGACCCCTATACCTACCATGCATGAGGTGGGGACTCACTAAGCTCAAAGTGGTCGACGCGCCGAGCGCTCAGGTAGGACAGGTACCGATTTTGACGGATTTTAAATCCATTTGACCACGTCTGCCGTTTTGAAATTTTGAAAATATATGATTATTATTATCGGAAAATAAGAATGGCAGACCATTATCGCGCATTTTACTTTGTGGCAGACCACTTTGAAAATGCTAAATTGCATTGAAAATGCAAAATTTTGAAAGTAATTGACTAGATCTGCCATTGATTTAATAATATGTTGTTTATTATAGTCTTAAAAACTTATATTGATCACGGCAGACCTCTACATTGCGTACATACATCAACATATAATAAAATCTTAGCTACTACCCGGCCAGATGTATATTATGTTTTCCGTTCACTGTTTTAGAGGAATATAATTTACTTGCGATTTACTTTAGCAATGTATTTACCGAAATTAATATTTTTTTATATTCTATATACTAAACTTCATTAGTTAGACAATAAAGAAGTGAATTTTTTATGGAATAATTATAAATAATACGGTATAATGCTGATCAAAAAATAATTCAATTCCTCATTTTTATCATTCAACATTTAACTTGCCAGCTATACAATGCCAAAAAATCTAGTGATGTAGATGATGGAAGGTTCCAGCTATTCGTTAGCAACTATAAATATTCAGACATCAATGAAAATTATAGAAAAAAAAATCAAAAATTTGAGGCAAGCTCAATACCACCGCATAAGAGTGAGCTTTATCAACAACTTTTGAGGGCCCACTATATTTCTTCTATTTGGAGAAATGCTTACAAAAAGCAACTGACAACTTTAGACCCATTGGAGTATGGTTGGATTGAGCAGGACAACATATATGCCTTCAAAGGGTTCGAAGGTGACCAACTTCCATATTTTGTGAGTGACTTAATCACCAATGTTCCTGGTAAGTTGATAACAATTCTTTCTCGAACATGTTCAGATGAATTTACGTTCATTTTACAATTTATGTTTTATTTTTGCAGTATTCGATTCAATGGTTGATGAAGACGAGTCGCCTAACGATAAAGATGACTCCGATGATGATGATGATGAATGAAGATTGATATATATATATAATATGTAATGCATGCATGATATATTTTTTTAACTGATTTAACACTTTTAAATTTTGTCTTGACGAAATAAAAATGAGGAATTGAATTCTTTTTTGATCAGCATTGTACCGTATTATTTATAATTATTCCATAAAAAATTCACTTCTTAATTGTCTAACTAATGAAGTTTAGTATATATAATATAAAAAAATATTAATTTCGGTAAATACATTGCTAAAGTAAATCGCAAGTAAATTATATTCCTCTAAAACAGTGAACGGAAAACATAATATACATCTGGCCGGGTAGTAGCTAAGATTTTATTATATGTTGATGTATGTACGCAATGTAGAGGTCTGCCGTGATCAATATAAGTTTTTAAGACTATAATAAACAACATATTATTAAATCAATGGCAGATCTAGTCAATTACTTTCAAAATTTTGCATTTTCAATGCAATTTAGCATTTTCAAAGTGGTCTGCCACAAAGTAAAATGCGCGATAATGGTCTGCCATTCTTATTTTCCGATAATAATAATCATATATTTTCAAAATTTCAAAACGGCAGACGTGGTCAAATGGATTTAAAATCCGTCAAAATCGGTACCTGTCCTACCTGAGCGCTCGGCGCGTCGACCACTTTGAGCTTAGTGAGTCCCCACCTCATGCATGGTAGGTATAGGGGTCTCGATGTACGAAAATTCAGGTCTGGTCAAATACATACAGGTAGATCCCACGGGCTCTCGGGCTATAGGCTCTTGTGAGCAATAAAAAAAACAAATAGCATTATAATACATGTTTGTGTTGGTAAATTATTGTTATAATTTTTTTTTGTGGTCACCCTATCATCCAACTAGCAAGGGACTCGAGCCGCGATGTATGTCCGATCTACTCTAATGATATCACGCGTGTTATATACCTACATAAAATGTATAAGTAGGTATTACATTCATTAGAGCAAAAAAGAGAATCGGAGATATCTTAAAATCTTGACTTTAC